GTATATTTATAATCGGGCTTTAATTAAAAGTATGTTTTATCTGATTACTCGATTAATCGATAGCTGCAGCTCTACAAGAGACCATTACTGACATGAGTTATAAATTATTATGGGAGCAACAAATGGTTACACTGGTCTGACTGCTGTCAGTAGTGCAATATCCAAAAGCAGACACAGGAGGGAGCCTCTCTTACACAACAAACTGTGAGCACAGCTGTGGTGGGAAACTCACACTGAGGTAGAGTAAGTAAAAAGTTATCTGCAGCTTGTTCCCTGTCAAAGAGGATCTGGTCTGTGTGTTGGTAAATGTGGTATTGATAGAAAGATACTAGAAACTCTTCAAATGTTTAAAGAGAGTAGCGAAAGTCACAGAGATCCGTGATCGTTTCGATTCAAAATAAATGTGAAAACTACTTTAACCTAAAACAAATGTATGACTCTTGAATATATCCAACTATAAACAGTAATAAGTTGGTAAATTAATATGAAACAATGTGACCCAGTAAAAGAAATCATATTTTAAAGTGTAAAATTCAATCTATTCATCCATAAAAACACAGAAGAGGACCAGTGGGGATGAAGAACACTAACATCTTACATTTAATAATGTGTTAAGTGGAAACTACCAGGACCAGACTGTAGTTTAAAGTTTAATTCAACAGTCTGCCTCGACAGCGTCCGTTACCTGGTCCTGGCCCCACAGGCGTGTTCTGGGTGGAGGGTATTTCAGAAGATCCAGTGCAGTCTCTCTGATGACTAGCGGGTTCAGAAGTCTGAACCTGTGCGGCTCAAGAGGGATTTGATCTGGAACCTTCTGCCAGAAGAAGAGCCAGTCCCACAGCGGCTGCAACACAAAACACACACACACACACTTTTAAAAAGGGCCATATCAGGATTTTTATATGAAGCTGTGCATGCTGCAAAACGGATATTTTTTATAATACAGATGACTATTTTCAAAAGTATGGTAACATTTTAGATTCTTCTTTGTCAAAATCAAACTGCAGAGACTTGACAATGCTTGTGTTAGGTCCCCACAGAGAATGTCTTGTCTGCTTGTATTGTTGTCATGGTCATGTTATCTTAAAGTTTAGATTGATTTAAAAAGTCTGCACTGCATTCATACAACAACAATGCACTCCGACAACAATAAAAGCAGACGTTATGCTACATTTGCAAGCGAAAATGCTACAAATGTATAGACGCCTATATATGCTCTGCAATTTAGCATGAAAGCAAAACTGTGTTTACATGTGGTAAAATAAACTCTCAACAATTACGTCAATGTGGCAATGATGTGAACAGCTATTCAGGTCGGGTTACCATACTGATTCAGTTTATTTTTTGTATATACAGAGCTGTGTGTGGGAGGATTGTCAAAAATGTTTCTTTGTGCCTGTTCCCGTACTATATGTGTGTGTGTGTGGGTCTCTGCGTGTGTATGTGTGTGTGTGTACGTGTGCGCTTCTGTGGGTGTCTAACGCTGTGAGCGTTGTGGTTTAAGAGGGAAAAGGTATCTGCACTTCATCAGCCTCATCCTACATTCACCGTCAAAGCGCAGTTAAGAGCACTGTTCCGTAACATGCAATCTGTGTTTTCATGCAATACCAAAATACAACATCCACCCACATCATCAAATATTAGATACTGCACTGCACCCACTGCTTAACCCCTTGACCTAATCCAGGTCTAACCTTTATCATTTACTACGTCAGGTCGGGCACACACACCTGCCCACTCTCAAACCATGGAGTCCCTTTTCTCACCCATCTGTCATCCTATACTTACTTTATATTATTTTCATAATAGTTCAAATTCATGCATAGACCCTAAACAACACTATGTAAAAAGTTAGTTGTTTGTATCATATTCTCTGATTTGGGCATACTAGTGTTTTACAGTCACAGCAAGGATGTTGTATAATGGATTATAAATATTTTAACTGGGACAACAACACAGCACTCCAGTCTTTTATCTTCCCCAGACACTGCATAAACTCACAACCAAAATAGTGGCGCCTTATGATAATAATCAACACCACACAACCCCAACAAACAAAAACAGCTCAACATCCATGCACACACAGGTCTCCACCTTTCCCTGAGTGAAGTAAACACAAGAGTGCTAGTTTGGCTCCGGAAACCCACATTTACAACTCTCTTCCTCCCTGACACCATTTCACACTGACACACACACACACATTGTTAATGCCAGCGTCTCTAACTCAGTTAGTGAGACACACAGACACACACACACAAACACACACCTACACACACACACACACACACACACACCCACACACACACACACACCTACACACCAGTCTTCCACTCTAAGTCTTATATGACAAGGGCAAAGCTTTTCTTCATTGACCCTCTACAGGTTGAAAGGTTCAAGTCTGTTACACTTCTTACCCCACCCTATATCACAGTCAGGTGTGGTCTATTATACTTGTTACCACACCCAGCTGTGATGCAGCATTGCACAAAGTAGTAAATACAGCAGTGTTGTACTGCACAATGTGTGGAATGAGGAGGCGTACTACTAGATGCAAGAGCAAACAGGATTTTCAGTCTGCTGTAGCACTTATCTATTTTTAAAGACTGTGAATGCTGCAAACTCCTCTAAGGGTTTTTTCTTAAGCGTTTCTTGTTGCTTCTTGCAATGAGGACCTTGGAATCAAAGTGTCAATTAACCAGAGCCATGTGGAGCAAACGTTTAGAAGGAATATGTTTTCAGACCATCATAACAGACAGATTTCCCATTGATAATAAATCAAGGATACATGCACGCATTTTCAGTATTTATTAACAAAGCTACTTGCTGTAAACCCATATTTACAAATCCTTTTTACTGCATGCCCACTGATGATGATAATATAACTCATATGAAATATATAAAATAAAAAATAATAATAATTCTGGTTGGGTTTAGATCTCCCCCTGTGCACACACTTGTCACATGTCTTTTATCACAGCTATCACACTTCTTGTAATCTTTTTTTAACACAACAGCTTTAAATAGCGTTGTTATTTCAAGCATTTTGCATTATCTGCAAATGTGAAAACATGAAAAAGGGTCTGCTCACTGCAGCTCCCTTAAGTACAATTTCTTGGGACATCCACTAGTGACGTTGATCCTGCACCTGCCTTAAACGATATCTGGATGTGGGTGACTACTATGCATGATTCAGCATGTTGCAAAGGTAGTCATATAAACAGTTTTCAGTCGTCAACCCTTTACACATTTCTATTATCAATTATTCTTATCTTCTATAAACTCCATTACTGCTGTTGTTCTGTAGAATTCCTGTAATATGTGCATTGTCAATGGCTGAGTAAAAAGAACAAACTAAACAGGGGTGCATACTGTGTGTTTAACAGAAATACTTTTACTGTAAAGTCAGCCCTTTAGTATTTATTATAAGTCTTTTAAAAGCATGGCTTACCAGACAATGAAGGTCTGTGCTGACCCTTTTTTAGCTTCCCTTTTGTTTGAGTATTGAGTGTCTCTGCATGTGTCTTTGCTTAAGCTTACCTCGAGGCTGTGGAGGGCAGCAGCGCAGCAGCTGGAAGTGCACGTTGTCAGTGCGAAGACTTTGGCCCTCCAGGTGTTCCAGCAGCTCCCCGAGAGTTTTCCGAAATGTCTCAGTGCCGTACAGGCGGAACCCATCGCTGCCCACTTCAATCTGGAAGTTCTTATACTGACGCACAGGACGAGACTCTCTCAGGTCCAGCTGGAGGCAGAAAGAGAGCAAAGCGAATGTCATATCTTAAAAACAGAGGTCTTAGACTGTTTTTTTAGAAAGTATATTTCTATTTGAATGGTTTCTTTTAAAAAAAAACATTTATATAGTTCTGTTAAAGCTCCACAGACACATGCAAATATATAAATGAGTCACTGCTATTACACATTTATTCAGTCCTCGTATATATCGTGTTCGTTAGTGGTGGCTAAGCTGGCCCAAGCTAAGCTTTGTGAATGTTAATGTGTGTGTGTGTGTATGCCTTTGAGAGAGTCATCAATAAGATGCCAGTCATTACCTAATGTGCTAATAATACAGGGTTCATTCATTTTGCCTTTTACTGTAACCACACACCACTGAAAAGAGAGAGGCCCATAGAAATATGACAACAAAGAGTGGTTTTGATTCCATTATTGGTTTTCAAAACTTATATCATACAGACGTGATTACACAGGAACGTGTTATTTCAGTTTCTCAACAATCACACCACTTTGATTTTGGGTTTCCTTCCAGTTACTGAAGTATAATTCAGTTCATATATATTTAATTTTAAAATAAATGTTCAGTTTACATTTGTAAAATCAATGGGTAGTGAGACAACTGTCAACAAGCTTTTGGCAGTTTGTTTGTAATCTGAAATTTTTTACAATACCATAATATAATACTACTCACAATACTTATTCTACTAATGCATGTAACAACTATAATTTACTTATTATTTTACTATAATGGAGCAATGATGCATATCACACTCACAATTCCAAGTTTTCCAGAGTCTGACGAAGAAGATATATAGTATTAGGTATATGAACAACTCTACTCTACCTCAGTGCAGACCACAGTGATGATGATGTACTGGTAGTCAGTGCAGCTCCAGCGCAGAATGTACGTGCCCTCCTCGTTGCCCTCCTGACGCAGCTTGTAGATGGCGTACTCGGTACTGGGGAGGGGAAAACTCAATAAATGGGGGCAGTAATGGGGAATTCTATTAAAGGTAGATTGAGGGTTATACAAAAGACTTTAATACAAGCAAGATATAATGTCGGTTAGTATTACTATTGTATATATAGTTAGTATGTCTTTTATACTGAGAGTTGTTTGTTTATATTCTGTTTTTCCCTGTACATCTGAGACTAAACCAGTTTTCCCTCTATGGGTTAAAAAGTTATCCGTCTACTTGTCTTTAATCCATTCTGTGTGACTAAACCCTTTATAGAGATAGAACAACAAAATAATACAATGACTGAACAACAGATGCTGATAGAAATCTGTTGGTGACTGAACTGACCTGTCAGGTGCAGTAACAAAAACAACATTAAGACAACCCTTAAATTGCTATAATGGAAAGGTTTACAAAAAAACAGTGACCTTCATCACAGAACCTTAATTTAGGCTGACTTCTAAAAGCAGTGTGTGATCTCTGTGCAGGTAGGAGGCATACAGGGTGCAGGCAAATACAAATTAAGGTAAGCAACAGATGGTTTATGATGAATGTGAGTAATAAAGCTGCCCGAGTCCGGTAACATTGTGTTTTTGTGAGGAAACACGCAGTACAAACCAGATGGGTCCGTGGCAGCCGTTGTGAATGTTGTCCACCACTGAAGCAGGGGCCACCTCCTTGCACAAGAAGTGGTGGGCATCCACTGTCAGCCTGAAGTACCCGTCCACAAGGGCCGCAAAGGACAACGCCTCAGCTCTAGAAGCCATTTGCAACTCCTGAAAAGAGAAGAGAGAGCAAGAGAAATGAAGAGAAGGAGAAGAAGTGATCAGAAAAAATAACTCTCTATAAAGCCACAATACTCCAAAGGACTATCTAAAAGAGCGGCGGTGTATCACAAAAATCATGGCTTGTGGGCTTCACTTCAACATGAGCTACATTCAAACTAATTTTGCAGTTGGTAACATTAACTATGTGGACAAGTAGAGAGTGGTCCAGATTACTGAAATAGGTGAGAAGATCAATGGTATTTACTTTGACATGCTGAGGCCTTTGAGACAACAAAACCACAGGAAATTTGTAAAGTTAATCCTTTTACAGCTGTTTTGGATACAGAGAACATTACAGAATAGTAAATGTAACGACAAATTATACTTTTAAAACAGTTATCTAGCGATGTCATGTGTGGTTCCGCTTCTGTTGACTCTGACGTCAACACCAGACAACTATTTCAATAGACAGCTCAGGCATTTAAATGGCACCGAAATCTGTGCTATGATTCGGTGCAGTAGATACCATAGTTAAGTTTGTCGGTACGTAACCCTACTCACCATCCTCTTGTTGTCCTGTCTAAAGATGGTGACTATTGACTCTTTGATGACAGTGTGGGTAAGCTCATGGAAGTCACAGAACACCACCCAGCCTTCGCTCGTGTCTTTCTTTCTGTCATTTTTCTGTTTTCCATCCAGTTTGTTCTTCTTTGACTTGGCCTTTTCTTTAGAGATCACAGGTGTCTGTTTTAAAGATACATAAAACAGATATTATGTTAAGTTTCTTTTTTTGTTCCTATAATAGTATCCTGGTGACTTGATCAAACGTTATCTTACTGTAGGAGGCTTCTTTCTCCAGGAAATACCATTGGTACCGGTAATAAGGACCTGCATGTCATGGCTCGTCTCCATGCTCTGATTCTGCCCTTGGCTCTGGTTGTAGTACCCTGGAACACAGAAAGCAAACCATATACCACAGCAGTTACGGATGCAGCCAAACTATTCGAATGCAGTAGTTAGAGGACACATTTGGACAATCCTGCGGTGATTATGCAGAGATGAGTGAAGCCACGGAAATGTCTTGTTGACTATGGCTACTGTACGTTTAAATTGAAAGAATATTTTGATCTTAAGCAGGTTACTCAAACCATCCATTTTTGCATCAGTGCTTGAAAGCTTCACACATTGGGGTCTGGTCTACTCTGTGATAAGTGGGTTAATGTGACATGTAAACATCTTGTTTCTTTCACTTTTGGTTTTCACAATATGCACAAACTCACACAACATTTTAGGCATTTGGATGTCAACAAAGTTCAAACTGTTTTTTTTTGTGGGCAATATACCACAGGTACTCTGCAAGTAAACATACCACTATAACAAACCAATGTCACATAACCACCATATTTCAATATAGCTGATACAAACTGCAATAGGACTATAAAAACAAATTATCATCTCAGCTTTGTAGTAGAGCAGCAACCTTACTTTGTCTCATTGTGCCTTATGATTTAAATAATAATAATGATAAGTTTATCAATCTCCTTCCACTCCCAGTGAGATCATCAAGGTAAAAACATTTTTTTCTCTTTTAATCATCTATAATCTCCTGTAATTCTTGTAAAACTACATCTCAAACAAAACCCCACCCTGGGCGGTTGCACGCCACAAATCTGGCACCGTGCCTGAAAACGTTGAAATTATCTACCTGAAATCTTACCATAGTAACCTCCATTGCAGATATCCCCTTCCTGCGTCACACCGAGCGATGTGGGCTCAAACACCTCGCTGCCCAGTCCACTGGTCAGGCCCTCCAGTGTGGCTAGGTACTTGATCTTCAGGTCGTACGGTGTGATGTTGCTGTCCCTGACTGTGCGACGGTTGAATTCACTGAGGAATTTCTTGAAGACGTTGTTGATGCGGATGCGTGTCAGAAAGTTGCGCTGCTTAATGTTGCGGTTCAGCGACTCTGGGATGAAGCGTTTGTAGCTGGTGGGATTAAGATAGAAAGATAGTATATAAAATAAATGTGTTTCAGTTCTTTCTATGGTTTGTGCAAGTGTTTTGAAGATAAGATAAAATAATATGTGACCTCTCTGAAACTGAATTAAAGAGTGGTCATTAATTAGTGACTATCATTCTTTAGTCCTACAGTATGAACAACAATTCTTTTATGTCTACAGGCTCCCTAAACTTCAAATGTGGGGGGAATAATCCCATAAACCGAACCAAATAAAGTTTCCCCCAGTCAAATGGATATATATTTTTCCATTATATGCTTAGTTTGAAGTGTAAACAATATATATGGTATATTCTCAACCTAAGAAAACACTGTGTCAATTAATTTTAGTCACACTTTCAAGTAAAAGTATTTCTGTTATGTCTTAGAAATTCACACTGTGCTCTTGATTCTCTGAAAGGAATACTGATAGTGTTCTGAGTAAAACAACAATCTATTTCGTGAAAATGGAATTGTGGAATTTATGTGAGTTTCCTGGGATGGCATTGGAAGGCTATGATTTTTAAACATGGGTGTTATTTTAAGATCTTAATCACCAGTCCACTGATGTTGCACAATTCAAACCTGTTTGAGAATTCAAGCACATGCTACATCGTGTGGTTGTGGGTAGGTGTGTGTGGGTTTTACCTGATTTCATTGGAAGTGGATATATCCATGTCCGTGGCATAGTGAGTAATAGCAAGAACAGCCATGCCCAAACACTCATTTTCTATCTCGTGCTGCTCTGCCTCTGACTGGGACACCCTCAGTGGAACCACGCCTTTCTGAAAGTCATGCTGGCCCTGTGCAAAGCGCAAAAGAGCAAACAGAGACACATTAAACACAAACATAACATAAACACCTTACTGTATGGACGGATGCCTTATGTGGTACACAAATCATGTCAAGATGACCAAATAAAATAAGAAAACAAACTGCCTTATTTAAAGTAAAGTTAGATGGGTTTATTATATTTTGGACAGCTTCTTTAAAAGGCATTTTATATTCCAATGGACTGAAATAATTGATTTGACAGCAGTGGCTCTAAATTTGCAGAAGGGGTGATGTTGCTGTCTATTGCTAACCTTCAAGCTGCACTTCCTGGTATTGTTACATTTCCTTCCATTTGTTGATGTTCTGAAACTCAACTGTGAACTGTGTTGATGTTTGAGCTTTTAATTAAAAATCTACTCTCAAAAGTTATTTTAAAGAAAGAAATAATAAATGCAACAAAAAAAAAAAAGGAAACGTTTTTGGTAGTCTGATTTTTTAGGTGGCCTGCCCAAAGATATTCTTCATATGAGCAACAATGAGTAAGTGAAGAGAATTCCACCATGACACTATGAAGAAAGTCATTAGTGATTGATTTTTTTTTTTTTTCACCTGGGAAAACAGGTAGTCGAGAGAGGCAGCGTCCAGTAGGGGCGTCCCTTCTGGTGTCTTCTGTGGGCTATGCCCTCTTTTGAGTTTACTGATGCAATGTCTCCAAACTGGAGACTCTTCTTCAGTGGTGCCATGCCAGTTTCTGAAATAAAACCTGACAGGAGACAGAAAGAAGACAAGTTAACAAGACTTAATACATGGTGTGCGTGCAAGAAAGTACACATGGCTTTGGGTTATTTTATGCTCGATGAATTTCAGAAACCTATTTTATTCTTGAATGCACTAAACCGCACATCTCCAGGAACTCACTACTAGGTTTTAAAATTACTGCCTGAAAGGAAGGTGGATGTTAGTACTATAAATAACAAGCTTAGCCTTGAGTTTGCATTGCTGGGATTTTGGCCTTTAGTGACAGAGATGTCTAGCCTTGAGAGGCAGCTGGACTTAGAAGATTACAGCTATGGAGGAGGGTTAGTGTTATATGGTTCGTTGATCTGATTGGTTGAAGTTTGCCCGTGATAGACGGTCACAGAGAGATGGTTCATCCAATCACATGCGGGTATTTTTTGGAAGTGCCTGCCCTTGTCCAAACAGTTTCCAACAATTACTTCCCCAGATGGTTCTGTGTATGAGGTTTGTCATGCACTTGAATGTGCACAGAGAAACAATAAAACATGAAGTGCACTACTGCCTCCTGTATTATATGTAATAATTAAAGTATAAAAATGTCTATTACTAACACTTACCCATGCCCATTTTCACTTTGCATGCTAATATCACCCAGCCAGTTAGAATTTTAGTGCAGGGGAACATTTAAGTTTTTTCCTTTTTTGGTTTTGACCTAATTTCTTGTTTTCTCTGAAATGAAGCCATATTTCAGCTAGCTCATTCTTTTCAGAGGAAATACATCATCACTGTTCAGCATCGCAGACACGACAAGACAAGTGGCAGGGGAACATTCAGCTAACTGGCACACACATTCTGATGACACGACTGCTGAAATTTTATTGGCCAGAGAGAAACACTCAGTGACAATGCCACAGTGAGGGCTGTGGCAGGAAACCCAGGACTCATGGAAAAACATCCCAACTACACAGAGAGAGAGCCCAGTCCACCCATTCTGGGACAACATTGTTAATCATAAGTAGCCATCTTGCAAACAACCACTAAGGAGACTAAACATTTAGTACATTTATTTCAACACAGTGTACCGTCACAAAAAACCCAAGATATTTATATTGATACGATGGATGATGTATAACGTTCACAGTTATTTACAAATTAACCCGCTACAAACTGGCTCCTTTTTTTTTGATGTCTCTGCCTGAACCCGCCCAGAGATATAATAGTCCTGTTAGGAGCCGCTGTAAATCAGCTGCTGGCGACAGCTAGTACAGTTAGCACATCGCACCAGTGTACCAGTAAGTGACTCCCTGTCTTACAAGAGAAAAGGTCTGTCTTGCGCAGCTCCCAGACAGAGTTTGACGTTGTTTTTGTCTTTCTGCGAGTCTGACTAATAATAAGTGGGTCGACTAAGACTCTTCTCAACGATTAAGTAGACTATTAGGGGGGAGCCCTAATACCTGCTAAACATAAACCCGCTGTATTGTCACTGTTAGCATATCAGCATGCTCATGATAGCATTGAGATAAAAACACTGCTCTACCTCACAGACCTGTGGCTGTAGACTCGAGTCTTGTTTTAGTTTTTGCACTGATGGGAATCCATGCTGGTGACACTATAATCCGTGTGCGTGTGTTGGTGTTTAGCATTTGCTTATGCTGAAGATTGTGTATCAAGACTTGAACACAATACCCTGCTTGTTTGGCGGCACTACAGTACGCAAAGCAGGCTTCAGCAAAAGACACATATACACAAGCTCACACAAATAGACACACACCACAAGCCACATTTACACTCTATGCACACTCGCTTTTCTCTCCACTTGCTACTGTCAACACAGAGCACAGAAAGAGGAAGTGCAAATGACACCACAGTCGGATTGTTTTTCCTCTTTGCATGAAATGCTACCTAACTTGTACATTGGATTCGCTTAAGAGGGACTTTTCTAGTCGAGTACAAATATGACATAGCTGGGCTGTCTCGTAAAAACTTTTCACTCCAGCCTTCCAGTCACAAATCTTATACAAATGGATTTAATGAGCAGTTTAGTCTCTTATCATGGGCTCAAGCATGGAGTTGGACTCTTAAATCACCTCAGAAAGTCAATGATTTACTTCACTTCTATTCCTCATCTTATTCTTAGATTATAATAGCCAACGACCAAAGGTATAAAACAGCTCTCAGAGGTATTGCTGAGCTTCATCCTTTGCTGAAATCTGTCCGTTTTCCCTTCTCTTTCTTCTTATTGAGCTAAAGTGACAACTAGGAATGTTATAATCTTATACGACCAGAACTACAGTGCTCCTTAGTCACAACACAAATTGTTTTTTCCCATAATGCCAAGGATTATATGGCATTATGAAACAGTATGCAGTTAAGTGGTATATGCTCCAGATTCCTCCGTCAGCAGTACTGGCATTATACACACCTGGCACTGACAAGTGTACATCCATCACATTGGTGTGTAATATTAACAACCTTTAAAACTGATAATAATAGTAACCTTTATTTCTATAGCACTTTTCTTAACAAGGTGCATTAATGACTTTGCCTTACTCATTTCACATCTACACGTATCCTGACAATCTTTTTCTATTTTAGATGCCTGCCTCTACCCCAGCATGCTATATGTTTTGCTATATATGAAACACCCAGGACTTGTGAATGGGTGATAGATGTGGGGACATGTGCTTGAACTTCAAAGAAGGGAGCAGGTTGACACCGTGAGAGCAGTTACTCACCAATATCTTACACATGCAACAAATAAGCTGTATTTTCTATTACTCGATTAGTTTATTCTAGTTAGAAAACCATGCATATATTTTTATAAAAAAGGTAAACAAGCCAAATGATTGTGGAAAGGAAGGAGAATGCCAACTGAAATAATGCCCAATGGCAAACTTATACCAATAGCCTATTTCCTGTGAGACAAACTAGTCTCAAAGTCAGGACCCATAATACCGCCAAGTATTTTAAATACAAAGGAACAGCAGTTTAAGCATTTCAAGCAGTTGAAACCCAGATCTCATCCTTGGGTCACTACCAAGAGCTCCTACATCAAAGATGAAGGTTGGAATGTAATTTTTTGCCTTTTACCTTCAGCTACCTGGAGGTCCTAGCTATCATCCCGGTTTGGATTTAAACAACTTCAGTGTGCACTAGAGGTCACAGGGATGCAATCCACAGATCATCAAAGCCAAATACCATATCAGGCACGCAGTTTCTCCCAAACCCAGGTTTTGTGACATTATGCACATGACCATTTAATTTACCTGACTGATCTAATGTGGTATTTCCATTGCAGGGTCGCTTGAAACCTCGACCAAGGTGATCCCAAAAGAAACCCCAGGTAGCAGATACTATCCCCAACTTTTGCCAATGAAAAACCAAAAAAAAAGGAAGTTGTGTTAAGCTGAGCCGTGGACATACAGCTTAACCCACCTGAGACGTCTAAGAACTGTTAACCCTTCTTCAGTCTTGAACTCCCTCATGGGTCCTCTCACCCACTTCTACACACAATCACACACAAGGAGACCCGATCCAGGAGTTTGGCCACAAAGCTTGTGCTTTATGTAAAAGCTTGGCTCAACAATAGTTACTTCAAGGGTGGCCTGCAGACTGGTTCACTATGGTACATGGTTTGTTGGTATTGCTCCACCTCATGCTCCTTCCCACCAGAAAGAGACATTCCACATCCCAGGAGCCAGTTTTCATAACCACAAGTCAGCATGCCAAGGTTCCTGCCTTTGACTGCAATCCACAGTGCCCTAGAATCTTGCAAGCTGGGTGGAGACGCTCGATTGACAAAGGTGCCGCAGTATTAGTAGACCAGACAAGGTTGCTCTCTCCGGATGTGAGAGTTCCATATAGGTCCTTAAATTGCCCTTCCTCTGGACCCTCATCTCCCAATATTTTTCAAACATTTTCACTATTTTGAAGACTACACTACGTTTGAAGTGATCCAATTAAAGAAATGATTTTATGCAAATATTTAGCAGCTAGAAAAAAATGTAGTCAGCCACTGACTCACCTCATGCGATAGTGTAACTTGAGCTTGGTTTCATCTGTGATCTTGAACTCATAGTTGGGGGGGTACCACATGCCAGTTGTCTCATTGTACAGGGCAAATAGGTTATGGCACAGGGGAGAGATAGCTGAGAAGAGAAAGAGGAAAGAGGAACAAAGATCAATATTCAGGCCAATTGTTGGACTGGGACAGAGGCCAATGTGCAGCAACTGTCGAGAGATTTAATAAGAGCAACAGCAAACAATATGCTTATAAAACAAAATAAACAGAACGGTCTACATGCTCCACTGTCAGTCTCACTTGGTTAAACTGTATGTTTTAATACTTAGGCATAGATGAAATGTACTGTCAGATGTTTGAAATGAAAAGAGACCATTTTCTTTTTAGCCAAGCTAACCGGAGTTAGCAAATCAGTCAGCTAAAATGACTTAAGACACTTGAGAACCACTAGAATGGCACTTAGTATAGTTTTACAAAACCTGATTCATTGCCTTTCAACTGTGGTTGCAATTGATTTTTAGTAGTGCAATTTCTTATGATTATATTACTAAGGTGAGTCATTGATTCTCGAGCAGCCATGCTGTCCATCTTGCTTGGAATCTAATGCATTTTATCTCACATGTTGACAGCTCAATTGTAGCACTTACAGGGCAGTAATGAATGTTCATCTTGCTCTGAGATCAGTAACAGACTGGGAAAAGTTCTCCTCTGTCAGAGTGTGGTTTAATATTCCGACATTTATCAATGAAATTACCTTTGCATTGCCACATTTTATGAACTTAGAGAGAAATGAGCCAGAACAACTCAACTTTATGGCCACAGTTAAATTATAAATAAGTAAATTACCTGTTAAAAGATGTTAATGATTTAGCCCAGTTGTTTCAGAACAGCACAGGCTGAGAGAGGAGAAACATCTGAGAAACTGGCTAACTATAATAAATGAGTACTGCAATTTATCTGTGTATTTTTATTGACTGTGTTGTAATCAGGTTGATTTGACCTTAGTCTGAGCCAGCTCTAAACTGTATTCTGGCATTTGATCTCAGTTCTTGCATTAGTGCCTGTAGTTTACTATGTATCTTGCAGCTGTTCTTCTTGTGTTCATATGTCTACATGCTATTAAGGGGTTTGTTTTTTTATTTCAAATCATTTCTGAACGGACAGGACCAAAGCCAACAGCTGGCTGACAGCATCTTCTAATGGTGTGTAAGAATGTGTCCCTATTAGAGCCCCAAAAGTATAAAATAATTATAATTAACTTTAAGCATAATGCAATGTCATTTAAGAGTGGGGATCTAAGATGTAAACCTGGTGATTCTGTTATCCCCATTTGATCTGGCACCTATGTATATGAAACATACTATTTTCAGAGTAAAATCTACAGAACATCCTTCATTACTACAACAGTCAGCAGAGTGGGCAATTCTTGATTTGCCCAACTAGTCAACAGGTCAGTTACTCACCGCATTTTTTGGCAGCCTCCACACAGAGCTCCTCTCCAGTGAAGCAGCCGCTGACAAACTCTAGCTGGTTCAAATCCGATCTGTAAAAGTGGATCTCCAGGCCGCAAGCGGAAGTAGGAGATGGCGAGAATTGGGTCTTCCTACTGGACCTCCTCATCTTCCCACAGAGTTGCCTGCTCAACTCCATCACCCACAGAGTTGACATTCAGACACTGGAAAAGTGAAGTAAAAAAGACAAAAGGGGGAAGTGTGAATGTTAGATTAAACGTTTCCCTAATGGTCCAAGTTTCAATATGCAGCAACTTTTTGGCTTTCATATTGTGTACACCAATGTAAGCTTTACATTTAATTCAATCAGGCTAAACGAGACAAGTAAGAAAATACACAAGACATACAAATACACGTGGGAAACAACCCAATTCAAATTTCTCTTACCCTACAAATTACTGTATTTTGATGGTCAGTGGAATGGTAAATCAGACTTCATAAAGCCTGTTTTACAAGTTATTACTACTAAGTAGAATTAATATTATTAATTATCTTACATTTTCAACAAAGGTCTTGTGGGTGTTATTAAAACTTAGCCAGAGCATTCGATACCAAGGTCACTACAATTACTTAGGTTAGCCTGTCCCACACTTATCATTAAGTAATCAATACTTTCTAAAGAAATGGGTGACCACCATGTAGTTGACATCAAGTGTGCTAGAGGTATATGTGTGTGTGTGTGTGTGTGTGTGTGTGTGTGTGTGTGTGTGTGTGTGTGTGTGTGTGTGAGGCAAAAGTATTGATTGTGTGGTGAGCTCAGCAAACAGCAGCAGAGACTCGAGAGTTCAATGTTCATTAACCAGATGAGTCATTGTCGCTCCGAGCCTGAATCCACAGAAGCACACAGAATACAGTGATGTGTCACAAAACTGCAAATCAAATGACGTCAGCCTCTCAACCGAGCTGATGACATCAACACAAAAGGCAGATTGTTGCAGCGCTGGGGGAGCGAGGAGTTTGGGCATCATTACTGGATGAGTCTACAGCAAAAGCAGCATGTCAGCAGCAGTCCTTCATCAGCATTTACACTGGATCTGTCCACCCACAGTACTGTTTCGCACTCAGTGGTGTGTTGACCGCACATACAGCTAAATACACAATTATGTAATGACACCCTACACCCTTCCAGTCTGCTAGCTCCCTCCTTCTCAGCAAATATCTCTAAAATGCATCAGAGAGCTGCAACGGACCGTGACTGTAGGGGGCGTGGCCTCAACAGCAACCATAGTGATTGACAGACTGGCCACAGCAGTGTAGCAGGAACAGCGAGCTGGGAGTCCGAGCTAACCCGCCACGAGGATCTGCTGTCACACTCTCCGTGTGCATGCGGGAAACACCAAAATACTACACAGCTGGTGTAGACTAACATTCACAGAGGTTATTCAGTAATGCTAGATGAGCTTATAGACGCTGTGTAGGAATATTAAGTAGCAAGCTTTTTAGTTTTAATTTATATACATCTGATCGTTTCTAAGCCCTGCCTCGTTCCCTCCAATCAACTGGAACTCAACATCAGCTCAACAGCATCTTCCTCCTCTGGTTCATTATGAAAACCCAACCTTGAAAAGAACAGACCAAAGGTCATTGGCACAGAAGATCTTAGCTGGTCACTGACATAAAACCAAACTTTGTTTACTTGATCTCTGTGTACCGAACAGACTACCTAACCTGCAAGCAGCTGTGAGCCCAGTGGTAGTGGAATACACAGGTGAGCTGGACTTACTTACAGTACAGTACAGCATTAAAGGTCTGTGCTTTGTTTACAAATGCGGTCGGGGCACATGTGCATGTTTTTACGTGTGAGACCCTCCATTACCAACTGAGGAGAGCGACTGAAACCGCTGTTTTTCTCACCTGCGTTTGTGAATTAAGGATTTATAACCTGAGTTGGTGACAGTCGGAACAGCGGATAGACTAACTGATGAGCACTGTTTTGTTGCTGTCCACTTTGAATTAAGTTACAATGAAGATATGGCGATATTACGGCTGTTTGTGGTTAATAATAAAGGTCTGTCTCTGTAGGGATCCCTTTCTTAATGTTGCCAGAGACTGTCAGTGGCAAACAAGCACCTTTAGTGGACGTATTCTTATTTTGACCAAACCAGCAATGGTGATTGTTGGAAAGACCGTGTAAAGACAGACAAAGGATTTTGGGGAGTTATATTTTGCTTCAGTGAAGGTTTCGTTATGATTATCTTCTAGGTAACTGGTTTTGTCAATGAAGTCTGGT